GTCGACCCTTGGCTTGGAGGCGTCGACCCTTGGACTGGAGGTGTCGACCCTTGGACTGGAGGCGTCGACCCTTGGACTGGAGGTGTCGACCCTTGGACTGGAGGCGTCGACCCTTGGACTGGAGGTGTCGACCCTTGGACTGGAGGCGTCGACCCTTGGACTGGAGGCGTCGACCCTTGGACTGGAGGCGTCGACCCATGGACTGGAGGCGTCGACCCATGGACTGGAGGCGTCGACCCTTGGACTGGAGGCGTCGACCCTTGGACTGGAGGCGTCGACCCTTGGACTGGAGGGACTGGAGCCTCGTGGACGGGCTGGACCGGAGCCTCGTGGACGGGCTGGACCGGAGCCTCGTGGACGGGCTGGACCGGAGCCTCATGGAAGGGCTAGACCTGAGCCTCGTGGACGGGATGGACAGGAGCCTCGTGGACGGGATGGACAGGAGCCTCGTGGACGGGATGGACAGGAGCCTGTGCGTCCTCCACCGCCGAAGCAGGATAAGATGCGTCCTCTTGGACCACCGCAGAAGCAGGATATGAAGCGTCCTCTTTGACCACCGCCAAAGCAGGATACGATAAGTGCTCTTGGACCACCACTGAGGCAGGATACACAGATGGTAGAAGGAGTTCAGATGCGGGTCGCAGAGCAGGGGCCTCTTGGGTAGGCGGCACAGCTCTGGCGTCTGAGGATTTATTTCGTTTAGTCCTGGGTTGCAGAGCAGGGGCCTCTAGAATAGGTGGCACAACTCTGGCCTCAGGAGACTGCTGGTGATGGCGGCGACATTGACCTCGGGAGCGGCTCTTAGGAGGTGCGGAAATGATGCCGGCAACGCCAACTGGATCTGGTGAAGGTTTGGTGGTTCGGCCCATCGGAGAAACAGAGATGGCGCCGATTTCAGTCGAGGAGGAGGGGTTACAGCCCACCGGAGAAGATGCGGCAGCGCTGTCATGACCAGATGAGGGTGTGGTGGTTGAGCCCATCCGAAATGCTGAGACGGCACCAACTTGGACAGGGGAAAATGAGATTACTCCGGTTCTGACGGTCTGAGACGGGGAGGTGATACTGTCAGAACCAGGCGGAGATGTGGAGGTGTGGTGCTTCTTAGATGCAGAGAAGGCTTACAACAGTGCTTGCTGACAGATTATAATCCTCAGAAAAGGAGGGAAACTGTGGGCTGCTGCAAGCGTCCTGCAGATCCTCAACGAAGTCCCAAAAACTAATTCCTCAATAGGATTCCGATCTAAATAATGGCTGGCCCATTGCAGGGCTCTTCCCCTTAGGAGGAACACTGTGTAAATAATCAGGTCCATGTCCAACATGTCCGTGTCATAAAACCTCACCAAGTCCAATAAAAAAAGTCCTGCAGGAGTCCGGGTCACCATGCAAAGGGTACATCCGGGTCCGCTGGGTCCTGGTTGGTCGGTCCATTCTGTCACGATGTGGGGATGTTTAGGACCCAAATATGCAGATACCCAGGATGACTCGAGGCAGAAGTTGGTAAAAGTAAAAATCCTTTTATTTAGGAAGAAATAAAAATAAATCCAAAATGGCAGCGAGCCAAAAGTCCTGGAGGACAGGACACCCAAAGCTCTCTTTAGAGCACCAACAACTGGAGACAAAAAAAAGCTCAGACAGAGCACGAACAAACGCTGACAGAAATACAACAATGGACTGACACAAGACAGAGACAAGACAGGGCTTATATACACAGGGAGGAGTAATTAGGGAAATTGGCAGCAGGTGTGTGGAGTGAGGGCTGGAGGGAAGACAAGTGAATATAACAATCTACCTGGGAAAACAGAAACAGAGGAGGGCAAATACCTAAACACAAAACTAAACAACAATATCTAAA